ATATATATATATATAATAAAAAAAGAAAAACCATTTAGGAATAAATTTTTTTAAAAATTTATAAGAAGCTAGAAAACAAAAATAGGAAAAGATATAATCGCGTCGTCAGCTCACACTATTACATCCGCAAATGAGAGTGCTTTCTAATATTGTATGAATATAGCCAAAGCAAAATATGTCAATTCATTAGTCGAACTTACACTAAAGTTACTCACGCTATTGTGTTAATATAGTTGCTTTGACAATATTTATACAATATTAATAGCATTATAATTTGCGGATATAATCATGCGAACTGATGATGAGATTATATTTTTTCCTTTTGTGTTTTTTTTTCTGACTTTTTATTTTTGTAATTTTTTTTTTAAATATTTTTCAAAAAAAGTATCTTTTAATAATTGTTCTTTTTAATAATTATCTTATTTTAAGGGTTCTATGTATTTGCAGCTTATGCGCAGTAAATAAAACAATATTTTAAATACATCATTTCATTAGCCACAACATAATAAGGTGATTAACTTTATTTTCCAATTTTTTTTCAGTGCTGTTCCAATTATGTAAAATAGTGTATCCGATTTTAAATGTTGCTATATTATGTCAACAGAAACTCGTAGCCCTTTATATAGTTAGATATAACTATATAAAGGGCTACTATATAAGACAATAAATGCGTTTATTAACATGACTAACTTAATGATAAAGTAGAGTTTTCTTATGCAATTATCTCTTAAAAGAAACAAATTGTAATATAATTCCGAAGATTTTTTGAAGTACTTGTTTTATCTCTCAATTTTTTTTCATTGCCATCGCAGACTATACAATTGACTCTGATGAATTATATTACAATTTCTAGACTTCATATTGGACGTTGAAATAGGTGAAAAACAGTTTGCTAACTGCTTTAATTTTACAAGATTTGCTATTTTCTTCATTTTGTAACTGTTAGCAACTAGAAAGAAATTGTCAAAGTTTTTTTTTAATGAATTTTTTTTTTGATTTTTATTTTCTTCTTCTCCTTTTTTGCTTTTTTCAATACATAGGAATGATAAGGAAAAAGAAAGCTGAAGTTTACACGTGATAGAGAAAGTACATATATTAGATAAATTTGGAGGGCAAGATTTTTTTCATTGCGGTACTTAAGAAATTGATCAAGATTTACAAACGAATAAAAATATTTAACACACCTATGTAGTTTTTAATTACGATTATATTACGAACGATTATATTACGATTATATTACGATTTTTAATTACGATTTATATTACGAACTGAAACATCATTGATTATGAGCAAAATGTTCGGAAATCAATAATTATTATAAAAATTCGATAAGATCATAAAATCGATATTATTATAAAATCATAAATTTTAATTATCTTTTTACATTCAAGGTTTTAGCAAAATTGCTAAAGCTGCGACACACTCATAAAAATTGGTTTAACGTTGAAACATAATACTGGTACTTTGAACCATGTTACTGTGAATTTGTGCAACTGTAACAAAATATCACATTAAACCATGTTCTCTTATCGCTCCATAGAAATAATTTAGTGAATTTTTTTTAAAGAAAAGATAACTAATAAATAGAAAAGATAATTTAAACAAAAAATGTTTTTGATGGTAATGAAAGAGCCATAAAAAATATTTGTGAAAGGGTCATCGGTGTCCCATTTGCGACAAAAAGTTACGACCGGAGTTTCTCCACGTACAAAATCTTTTTTTTTTTTTTATTCATCCAATCATGGATGCAGAAAAACTAACTGTATTTTCTATTTACAAATGGTCCTGCACCAGCCGCGGTGGTACTTAAATATTCCCGAAGTGCTGGCGTAAAATATTCTCAGTGGTAGACGGAGGTTAGAATCCTCTTGTCTTCGTGCTAACCGTGTTAGGTTTTTGTGGTATACCTCAGCATTTAAATCAAATACGGGTTAGTTCCGTCAAAATTTCCTCCAAAAAGACTAGGCTATCCCAATGCTTAATCTAGGAGTTCCTCCGTCTTCTGTTTTTGGGATCAAAATTAGAAGACTACGAAGTTGAACATTGTTAGTCGTAAACATAAAAATGGGTTAGCTGTTCGACGCCATTTATAAAATAAAATAAACGTACCTCTAATTTTTATGGGCCGAAACATCCACCTATCTAGAATTGGATAAGAGAAAAATGACCCTTTATAGTAATGACAGTTTACTGATTCGTGAGGATAAAATTGGCCTGAAACACTTTTGTTTAAAAAGTGTTTAAGCAGTAAAAATAAAAATGTCAAAACTACCAGGAGGTTAAAAATAATGATTTTTTCTCCTTTAGATTGATAGATTAACGGTAAAAAACAAAATTATTATTGTAAATTACTGACCTGTTCTACAATGGATGCCAATCTTCCTAGCGCCACTCCTGATTGATCCTTTCTAGTCACAACAGCTGATCCAAGTTTAACAACAATTCGTCTAGCATCTCGCAATTGGCTGCGATATTTCAAAGGTCTTATTTTATTATCATCGTTGCCTAATTCCTCGTGAATATTCGATCTAATCGCAGAGAGGCCGCGTCGATTACTGTGCACAAAACGACTATATATACGAAAAGATTTGCTAGTATTACATAAAATCGTCTTTTCCCACATCGCGGCCACCTGAAAATGGATAAAACATAAAGTAACTGATAGTTTCAATAATCGTAAGTCAACAAACTAATAAAAATTTAGTAAACACCTGCTTTTTGACGTAATGTATTCGACAACACTGTGCTCGTTCAGCTGGATTGATCTTGTTAAAAATATCTTATTAAAAATATCTTATTAAAAATATTTACAGAAGCGTGTATTTTATTTTCGTTTTTTTCTGAGGGAAAGTTAGTAATAGGATTAATTCAGGGGCCCGGCAGTGCTAGGTTTTCCAGATCAGATTCAATTACTAAAAAATATTGATTTCTTTTAATTAAAAACGAAATTATCTCTATATTAAAAGAAAGGGAGAGCCTTTGTTTGCCGTCATCGCTATTTTAAAAGAAATCTTCTCCCTCTCATAACGCAGAAACTATCGGATGAAAGAAATAGAAAAATACTCACATTTTTCGTGGAAAGCGAAGAAATATCCTGATACGAAAATGTTATTGATGTTGATATTAATTTTTGAGTTATTTTTCGCAAAGGCTAGAAATTTTTTTATTTTTGCTCCGCGTTATTTAGTTCGGCGAAAACTAATAGCAGTAAAATTAGGATTTTTTTTCCAGCCACATTCTCATATGTCTGAAGATGAAAAGCATGCATCACTTTTATTAAATTTTTAACTTCTCCACCCCACCAATCGAATAGTTTTGAGACAAAAACTCAGATTCATTAAAAAAAATAAATGTAAAAAAAAAAAAATGAAATAAATATATATATCTATATATAGCATCGAACCAAACCATATGATCGTTACACTGAGCTATGACACTTAATTTTCTATACACTTAATAGATTGTAAATTGAATTACACAGGGTATTCCGTTAAAACCACCTTAAATATAAATTTAAGAATCCGCATCAGAAACTAAAACAGAACAATATGCTCACAGGGGGTCGCATATTACTATTTAATAGAGGAAAAAACAAAAACGCTAATTTGCGATTCTCAATATGCTCATTTTCATTTTCTGAAAGTATTTTTAAAAAATTAAAAAAATAAGTGCAATTTAATATTTTTGTACATTCTCCACTTCTTTCAGCACCTAAACTCATTTATGTTTCTTAGTTAAAAGACGAAAATATTCAGGAATATTTCTTACCTTTACTGAATCATTCTAAACACACCATTTTGCAATTATGTTATAGTTTTAACGACGCTCTACTTAGTCTCTGCTGAGCAGTTTTCATCAAAATATACTAAGATTTCAAGTTAGTAGTAATTTATTGTTTTTAGTACGATAAGGAGCAGAAAGCATTACTAATGTATTGATTGTTTAGCTCATTCTTTATTTAAGACTTACTTTTGAAAGTGGAAGGATTGGTTTGATAATTGTTTTAATCAGTACTTGTTGGTAAACACAACAATCTTATCTACATTTTTTTATAGTTTAAATTTCTAATCAGACTCTATTTCAAATTAAATGGTTAACTATGCTGTCTACCTCAGTGCATTTTTTTAAAGTAGGTTATTGGTTAAAGAGATTTGTTATTAATTAAGACCACTCTTAATTTATATTTGTCCAAAAGTGCGTAAACTCAACCTTATGAAACTAGTTTTTCTGTGGATTTCACAAGCAATATTTTGTACTTCCGCTTTTATAAAATTTGCTTATTATGATGTTTATAAAGTAGAGAATAATTGTTTATCTAAATGCAAAGCAAGAATTAATCTATGCATAATATGTCAAAACTTTGTATTTTAATACAAAATAAAAATTTTGAAAAGAATGAATAAATATATTAATATATGTTTCGATATTAGTTATTTTAGGATATTGAGTAATTTGGATATTAGTGATTTTAGGATTTCAGTCTTATATAGGTGAATTATACGTTATTCAGTAGTTCAGTTAGTTATGGTATTTTAAATGTGCCTTAAAAAATAAGAAGAATTTATTATACGTATTATTTACTTATTTAATTGCCTGTTTGAACTTAAAAAATATTTAGAAATTTGAATCATGTACCTTTATTCAGTTTTCTAAGTCTAAAAAAGCTCATTAGTAAATATGCGATAAAATAATATTACAATAAGTTTATCCTCTGTTTTCTTCAGTTTTTTTTTTATTCTTTTTTTTTTTTTTAAAAAAAAATAAGAAAACATTACGAAAAATTTATGTATTAGCTATCTTTGGAACAAGCTCATTGTGGTAAAAGTAATACATGCTTGCAAATATTAATTAGTTTCCCTTTCTAATTAAATGATTAAAAAAATTTTGATTTGAAATATTTACAAATATTTACATTAGGTAAACAAAATGTTTACATAAAATACAATCAGGTTATTACAAATGTTTGAATAGTTTCTGAGCCGTTGTATGTTAAAATATCCATTATATCTTTAAATTATTGTAGTATTTTTAAATTTCCGTTGTATTTTTATATTTTTGTTGCATTTTTAAATTTCCGTTGTATTTTTAAATCTTTGCTGTATTTTTGAATTTCCGTTTTTCATTTTTAAATTTCCATTATTCGAGATCAGTTTAACTGATTTCGTAAAATTTTGAATTTTTTTTAAATACATAATTACTTAGTTTGAAATAAAAATGAAAATGTCATGACGTGTTTACTTCACAATAATTAGTAAATTAAGTAATAAATAATTATTAAAAATTATTTGTGGCTTAGAACTATCATTAGAAAAACAATTTTAGGATTGTGAAAGAAATCGCCTCTTAAAATAATTCCCTAATTTTACAAATATTAAATTGTTTATTTAATAGCTACTATAATACGCATAAACCATATCTCGTTAAAACTTACTTGTTACAAAAACTGAAATTATGCTTCCTTAGAAAAGCAAAACAGAAACCAATTGATCTGGAAATTAAAAAACGTTAATGAAAATGGATTGATCACGTTCTACGTAAACCTGAAAAATTTAAGGAAAAACAGGTTTTTGATTAAAACCCTCAGGGCAATAGAAAAAGAGGAATACCTAAAAAATACTTGGCTCAAGACGATTATAAACGAATTGAAAACAATAGGAAAGACATGAAGAGAGGCAATATATCTGGTCACAAATAAAGTGAGATGGAAAGCTGCGATGGAGCCCCTATGATTCAATTCGGAGTAAAAAAGTATATCTATGTATATAATGCGTATATCTTTCTATAAAAATATAAAAAAAATACATATTATGTAATCAAATGTAATGGTGGTATTTTTCTCAGTTTTTCATATATCCTAATCCTAGACTTGTTTCACAAACAAGATTCAGCATTTTTTTTTTTTTTTTTTAAAATATTTGTACTCACAGCAGAAGGTCAGTCTTATGAAAAACTTATCCAAGTTGCTTGCGATAACGCAGACAGACAGGAAATTTTCATTCATAAAAAAGAAGAAAAATAAATCATGTATAAAAAATTTACGTTTTTATTAAGGTAATTTGTTAAGCACCAAAGCTCTTACTTCAGCAACACGTCTTTTTTCCAATAAGATTAAGCTAAAACTATTTATTCCCCAGAATTTATTCTAGAAAAACAAAATATTTGTGTCAACCATAATATAATAGTTTAAATATCTTTATATTCATCTAATATCATGTTAAAGCAGATTTTTTAGATATAAAGTTATAACTAACTCTAAAATATCCAATTAAATTAAGTGTAACTATCTTGCAACTTTTTTCATAAAGACATTTTTCACATAAATATGGAAAGATTCTTTGGCGAGGAATGGGTAAACGCATCATTTAGACTAAAAAGGGAAAAAGGAATTAAAACTGACCAATGACTAAATAGATTTTGAAGTTCATGACTGCTGATGAAATCACAATTGAAACAGCCTATAAAAGACTTCCTTTACTGTTTGAATCGCTGTGAAATTTTCAAAATATCAATATCTTTTCTTTCTTCACGATGAAGCCGCATGCACATTTAAGAACATTTTCCAAAAAGTGCATGTTGAAACTCATATAAATTAGAAAGATATAGTGAAGTTGAAAGAGATTTTTCGTCAATTTCAAAGAGCGTTTAATTGAAAGGCACTTCTCAAATGATGGGAACTATTGAAACAGTTTATAAGATATAGTGAAGTTGAAAGAGATTTTTCGTCAATTTCAAACAGCGTTTAATTGAAAGGCACTTCTCAAATGATGGGAACTATTGAAACAGTTCATAAAAATTAGAAAGATATAGTGAAGTTGAAAGAGATTTTTCGTCAATTTCAAAGAGAGTTTAATTGAAAGACACTTCTCAAATAATGGGAACGACAATGTTAATGACAGCTGATTTTGAATTCTGCTGATACTTATATCACAAGCATTAAACATTCACTTGTAATGCTAAATACCTTTCTATTTAAAACGTTAACTCCATAAAAACTCTTTTATTTAATTTCAAGACATCAGATTATCTAAAATAACAAATTTACTGGAAACTAACTATCGATGCTGTGATTGTTAAATTTAACAATAATTGTTGTTAAAGCTTTCGAGAATTAACTTAAAGCAACGCGTTTTATGCTTGCAGAAACCCTAACTTACGCAATGACTACTAAAAATTTTACGGCATGTGTATTAACATTAAAATTTTCATTGTATGTAATGCATTTTGTATTATGTTCATAATTTTTGATTGACTGAAAGATAACATGAAACTTTTAAAGAAAAACCATAAAATTTTGATCAAGATCCTGTAATAAACGCTGTTGGGTAACTTTATTTTTTTGTTTATCGGGTATTGTGACTGGTTTTAAGCAGGCAATATAGTAACAATTCAAAATTACAAAGGTGAAGAGACGAATGTTTATTTATCTCAGGTAAAAAAGAAAATAACTTGTATGAGTTATTCTTTAATCTCACTTTCTGCATGTTTCAAGACAGCGTTGATAACATTATACATAAAACAAAAAAACACAATAGTTCTAATCTGAAATTAATAATCGCAGTTCTAAAGGGGTTAATGAAATTAAAACAATACATATTCTAACAAAGGCAATTTTTTTTTAAAAAGGAAAGAAAAAGAAAGGATGTTTTATTGAACCAGTTAAAAGAAAAATGGTCATATCTTGCCATTAATGATGCAGAAAATAACTCTTAAAAATATTTTCGCTCGAAATATTAATTTGAAATAAATAATAATGAACACTTCTCTAATCTAATAATGATAATAATAATAATAATAGTAATAATAGCAATAATGTGTGCTAATTTTTTCTCATAAATGCAAATGTAAAAATAATTAAGTTAATGTGCTGTAAACATGGATTAAGTGAGATATAAATATTTCATTGAAATTCTTAAATGCTCAATTTCCTTTTTAATCAGTCAGTATTAGCGAAAATGCACACAGTGCACAAAATTGGGACCCGAAATAATTTTTTAACTAACTATCAGAACTTTCAAGTACTAACAAGGAAATAGTATTAAATAAACATCTTTATATCAAAGCAAACTTTTTTACATAGATTTCGAGGCTATATTGATTACTTTAAGTCATAAACCAATTTGAATTTCAGAAAACCATTTTAAGACAATATTATACACAAAGAAATAAATACTTAAAGAATATTTTTTCACATGGAATTATATTTGATTAAAATAAATAAAATAGTTTTCGAACGTCTTCTGTAAATATTTTTTGTTTACATAAATTGTTCCAGGGATACGACAAAATACGCAAAATAAGATTAATATTAAGGAGCTCAAACTTTCAACCTCTCTCTTTTCAAACTATTAGAACCAAATTTTCCAATTTCTGACTACCATATTTGGAGAGTCAAATATACAAAACATCAAAAAAATGTAGTACGTCTGTTCTTAAGAAGGTGATTATCTATAATGTTACGAAGACATAATGAATATCTGGATATTAGATAAGGCTGCGTCAATGAAATAAAGTTGAAAAATAGGTTTTCAAGAAAATGGTTACTTTAAGTCATCCACCAATTCGAATTTCAGAAAACCATTTTAAGACAATATTGTGCACATAGTGTGACAATCATTTGAGAATTAGATGGTTTTTAATAACGGAAGCTTAGAGCTGATGATCCATAATATTTAAAAGGAAATTGAATTGAATTTTAATTGCTTAATTTTTATCTTCGTAAATAAAATATATAAGAAGCAAAAAATAATAAATTGACTCTATTTTTGTATGTAGTACTTCGGTACTTTATTTGGTACTTTCTTATCACCTTTAAAATTCTCGAACTACAATAATTCAATTTTTCAAATGTACTTATTTCATAGCTCAAATTTTAGAGCATATAAGAAATATAGCATTTAAAAGTCTTACAGTAAAATTATTTAAAAATATTTTTTCTCGATATGTTAATTGGAAAAAAAATCAGAGATTTACTTTATTTGCTGATATTTCAAATCCCGGATAAATACAAATGTA